GATCTCTGATCTTTAATTAAAATATGTATATGTCTCTAATTAGAAACTTAACCTGTAATTTATTAAACTTGTGTGTGTGTGCTCACCTACATGTGCTTGCAGGGTCGAGCTAGGCTCCTGGCCCCGCCTTCTGAACGTTCCTAGATTGATGCAATGACTCATTTCTCACGTTTTTATCATATTTACATTTAAAATGTGCAATTGAATTAGCTTTATCGACTTCTGCATCTAATCTATTCCTTTTACTGATAGCTCTAACACTGAATTCTTCCTGATGTCTGTATGACTTACTTGAGTCTACAGTTTCAATCTATGACCATTCGTTCTGCTGTTCTTAATAACTTTGAACAATGCTGCTTTCCCTACTGTGTCAATTTCCTTGACAAAGATTCAGGCTCCAGCTTGAATACTTTCTTAAAGCCATTGTTAAGTTCGTCATATATCTCTTTATAATTTTCTGTATGTCCTCTCTCACTTTGGTCAAGTCTGGTAACTTGTTAATTCACAGGCATCTTCCTCCTGATATGGCTATAGAAGAGTTTTGGCTGGGATTTAGCCTTGTATGTAATGTCATTCTCATACTGCCTCTCTGCTACTCTCCTAGTTTCTGTGTAATCATTTCTGCCCTCTTTGTATGTGTTGTGATTTTGTTCTGTTCCATGTTCTCTATACTTCTTCCATGCTATTTTGCTTCTTCTCTTTGCTTCCACTGTTGAACCATGGGCTCGTCTTGCTTCCCTTAACCCTTAGTGTTGGTATAAATCTGTCTTCAGCTTCTTTGAGCTTCTCCGTTACGTAGTCCATGTGCTGTGTTGGTTTTCCACTGAGTTCTCTTTCTCATTCTATCCGTCCCAGGAATTATCTAACTTTCCGGTATTTCCCTCTTCTGTATGCTAGCCTTACATTCTTCCCCTTGGTACATCTTTCTATGGTCATCATTGTCACTATTCATTGATTAAAATACATTGGTCACTGGCTCCTAATGGCATTTCACTCCCTGATATTTTTATCAGAAAGTTCCTCTCTACTACTTCTACAAGCTTTGCTCTCCATGTTTCATCTCCTCCATGATTTGGCCATGGATGAAGGCTCACATTACCACCAGCTTTGCTTTCAGTCTATGGGCTGTGTTTGTCACCCCTTATAAGGATTTCCAAGCATATTCTGTTTGTAATTCTGGTTCTTTGGGAGGTTGTAGATTACAGCCACGACCACTTTCTCACCTTCCAGTGAAATGATTCCCACAATACAGTTCCTGTAGTTGTTTGCCACTGCCAAAGAAATCCCTTCAAAGATCCAGGTTCTCTTCATCAGCAGTGCCACACCACCTCTTCTTCTGTGTAGTCTTTCCCGTCTCATTATCTGATATTCCCTTGGAAATATCGATTGCTAATCATGCTAGTTAGTTTGGTCTCTACTAATGCTATTACATCAGGATCTGCTTCCTCAGTCCTAATTTTTGAGTTCATCGGCTTTATTGGACAATCCATCGGCATTGGTGTACCAGATCGTCAGTCTTTATTGTTGTCCTCTAACTGCCTAGTTTCCATCCTTGGTGTGTGCTCACCTAGTTGTGCTTGTGGGAGTTGAGCTTTGGCTCTTTTGTCCCGCCTCTCAACTGTCAATCAACAGGTGTACAGGTTCCTGAGTCTACTGGGCTCTATCATATCTACATTTGAAACTGTGTATGGAGTCAGCCTCCACCACATTACTTCCTAGTGCATTCCATTTACTAACTATTCCGATACTGAAAAAGTTTTTTCTAACGTCTCTATGGCTCCTTTGGGTACACAGCTTCCACCTGTATCCCCTTGTTCCTGTACCACCCGTGTTAAATAATCCATCCTTGTCTACCCTGTGTGTGTGTGTGTGCGTCCGTGTACATTTGCGTAATTTTCACGCACAACTGAGAATTACCAGGACGTTACGCCATAGTCCTGTACGTGGGCAGCAATCGTAATCATTAAGTACGAAGACCTCGATGAGGTCTCCGTAATAAGGTAAGTGCTCAATTAGAGGCGGGGCCCAGGTGGGCAAGCCCAGGTGTGGATCCTGTCACCGGAGCTAATTAGCTTACGGGTTGAGTGTGGGGGCAGAGTGGAGGCACTGGTGGGAGGCTGAGTGCACTCATTTGTTGTGGGGAAAGTGGTTGTTTCTCACTCTTTTCTCTCTCTCTCTCTCTCTCACTCTTCTCTCTCTCTTCATGTATACATCTTCAAGCAGCCATATTGATCCACATATGTACGTGTCCAAAAGTACACACCCATGTACACACCCATGTACACACCCATTTATAAAGGAATGTTCATGGGAATTAGGGAATTAATGAAACAATTTTGGCCTTAAAAAAAAGGAAGCATTTTTATCTCCGCGTTGCAGCTGCGCAAATCTCGTTTTATGACATTAATTCTCTGGGCTTTTTTGGTAATTAAAAACGTGAGTGAGTGAAGGAATATTCTCTACCACGGCGGCTGTTTTAGAGGGAGCAGGTGTGGGCTCGGACACACCTGTACCCTTAACACACACACACACACACACACACACACACACACACACACACACGCAGTTTCAAATGTAGATATGATAGAGCCCAGTAGGCTCAGGAATCTGTACCCCAGTTGATTGACGGTTGAGAGGCGGGACCAAAGAGCCAAAGCTCAACCCCCGCAAGCACAATTAGGTGAGTACACACACACACACACACACACACACACACACACACACACACACACACACACACACACACACACACACACACACACACACACACACACACACATGGTCACACAGGAATGGTCGAACAAATGGTTGTTAGAGTTTAACCCAACCAAATGTAATGTAATGAAGATAGGTGTAGGAGCAGGAGGCCAGATACAAGGTATCATCTGGGAGAGGAAATTCTTCAGGAGTCAGAGAAGGAAAAAGACTTGGGGGTTGATATCACGCCAGACCTGTCTCCTGCAGCACATATCAAGCGGATAACATCAGCGGCATATGCCAGGCTGGCCAACATACGAACGGCATTCAGAAACTTGTGTAAAGAATCATTCAGAACTTTGTATACCACATATGTCAGGCCAATCCTGGAGTATGCAGCCGCAGCATGGAGTCCATATCTAGTCAAGGATAAGACTAAACTGGAAAAGGTTCAAAGGTTTGCCACCAGACTAGTACCCGAGCTGAGAGGTATGAGCTACGAGGAGAGACTACGGGAATTAAACCTCACTTCGCTGGAAGACAGAAGAGTTAGGGGGACATGATCACCACATTCAAGATTCTGAAGGGGATTGATAGGGTAGATAAAGACAGTCTATTTAACACAAGGGGAACACGCACAAGGGGACACAGGTGGAAACTGAGTGCCCAAATGAGCCACAGAGATATTAGAAAGAACTTTTTTAGTGTCAGAGTGGTTGACAAATGGAATGCATTAGGGGGTGATGTGGTGGAGGCTCACTCCATACACAGTTTCAAGTGTAGATATGATAGAGCCCGATAGGCTCATGAATCTGTACACCTGTTGATTGACGGTTGAGAGGCGGGACCAAAGAGCCAGAGCTCAACCCCCGCAAACACAACTAGGTGAGTACAACTAGGTGAGTACACATACACACACACACACACACACACACACACACACACACACACACACACACACACACACCACACACACACACACACACACACACACACACACACACACACACACACACACACACACACACACACACACACACACACACACACACACAAAATTAATGAGAAGAGTTGTGACAGACGAGGATTGTAGGATCCTCCAAGAGGACTTAAACAGGCTGCAGAGATGGTCAGAGAAATGGCTACTGGAGTTTAACACCAGTAAATGTAAAGTTATGGAAATGGGATCAGGTGACAGGAGACCAAAGGGACAGTACACAATGAAGGGGAACAGCCTACCTGTAACGATTCGAGAAAGAGACCTGGGAGTGGATGTGACACCTAATCTAACTCCTGAGGCACATATAAATAGGATAACGACAGCAGCGTACTCTACACTGGCGAAAATTAGAACTTCATTCAGAAACCTAAATGAGGAAGCTTTTAGGGCGCTTTACACTGCCTACGTGAGACCCGTCTTAGAGTATGCCGCGCCATCATGGAGCCCCCACCTGAAGAAACACATAAAGAAACTGGAGAAGGTTCAGAGGTTTGCGACGAGGCTTGTCCCAGAGCTACGAGGGATGGGATATGAAGAGCGGCTGAAGGAACTGAACCTTACGACACTAGAGAAAAGAAGGGAGAGAGGAGATATGATAGGGACATATAAAATACTCAGGGGAATTGACAAAGTGGAAATAGATCAAATGTTCACACGTAATAATAACAGAACGAGGGGACATGGGTGGAAACTGGAAACTCAGATGAGTCACAGAGATGTTAGGAAGTTTTCTTTTAGCGTGAGAGTAGTAGAAAAATGGAATGCACTTGGGGAACAGGTTGTGGAAGCAAATACTATTCATACTTTTAAAACTAGGTATGATAGGGAAATGGGACAGGAGTCATTGCTGTAAACAACCGATAGCTAGAAAGGCGGGATCCAAGAGTCAATGCTCGATCCTGCAAGCACATATAGGTGAGTACATATAGGTGAGTACACACACACACACACACACACACACACACACACACACACACACACACACACACACACACACACACACACACACACACACACACACACACACACCTTAACTACATACTCTGAGCAATATATATATTTTTTTCACTAATTCTAAGAGTACTTCAGTAGTGTAAATACAATTTCCTACGCAAGTACTCTTAAATCCACAAGTACTCTTAAATCCACAAGTACTCTTAAATCCACAAGTACTCTTAAATCCACAAGTACTCTTAATTTAAGTACTCTTAAATCCACAAGTACTCTTAAATTCACAAGTACTCTTAATTTAAGTACTCTTAAATCCACACAATGTCCAGGAATTAAAATGTCAATATCTTACTTATTGATGCCGTCGAAATCAGCGCCGATCCCAACATGGTCGATGCCTGCAACATTCCTGATGTGATTGATGTGACCTGAAACACCAGAGGAAGAGGTTAAGTGATTGTTATGGTGGATGATTCGGTTGGATGGTGGTGATTGTGGTTACGGTGGTAGGGGGGGGGGGAGATTTCCTTGATTAGTGAAATAGAAAAGGCGATTGTATTGTTTATTTTTTAATGCTAATCAAACCTCATTTATATATTTAGGTCTTTATTTAACAAGATTTTTTTTTTTTTATATCAGGTTCTAGCTACGACAGGTTGGAGTGGTGAGGGATTGTGGTAGTGATGTCGGATCGTGGTTATGGTGTGTGTGTGGTGCTATTGTAGGAGGGTCGTGGTTGTAGTGTTCTTGAAAGGGTTGTGGTTGAAGTGATAGTGAAGGGTCGTGGGTTGTAATGATGGTGGAGGGTCCTGGGTTGTAATGATGGTGAAGGGTCGTGGGTTGTAATGATGGTGAAGGGTCGTGGGTTGTAATGATGGTGGAGGGTCCTGGGTTGTAATGATGGTGGAGGGTCGTGGGTTGTAATGATGGTGGAGGGTCGTGGGTTGTAATGATGGTGGAGGGTCGTGGGTTGTAATGATGGTGGAGGGTCCTGGGTTGTAATGATGGTGAAGGGTCCTGGGTTGTAATGATGGTGGAGGGTCGTGGGTTGTAATGATGGTGAAGGGTCCTGGGTTGTAATGATGGTGGAGGGTCGTGGGTTGAAGTGATGGTGAAGGGTCGTGGGTTGTAATGATGGTGGAGGGTCGTGGGTTGAAGTGATGGTGGAGGGTCGTGGGTTGTAATGATGGTGGAGGGTCGTGGGTTGAAGTGATGGTGGAGGGTCGTGGGTTGAAGTGATGGTGGAGGGTCGTGGGTTGAAGTGATGGTGGAGGGTCGTGGTTGTAATGATGGTGGAGGGTCGTGGGTTGAAGTGATGGTGGAGGGTCGTGGGTTGTAATGATGGTGGAGGGTCGTGGGTTGAAGTGATGGTGGAGGGTCGTGGGTTGAAGTGATGGTGGAGGGTCGTGGGTTGTAATGATGGTGGAGGGTCGTGGGTTGTAATGATGGTGGAGGGTCGTGGGTTGCAATGATAGTGGAGGTACCACTGGAAAATCTTGATAGTGATCATGTGAGCATTTGCTGTTGTGAACAAAGAGAAAGCGTGACAGACGCGACTATGAGCAGAACGACTAGGAGAGTTGTTAGAGTACTGTACAAGGCAGCGAGCACAATATCACTCAGGTACTACCATTACAACTATTACTACTGTTACATCTACTTTTACTATCAATAGTACTGCTACTGCTGCTACGAAACCTTTGGCATCTACTACTATTAATAAAAATAATTAGATCTAGTACACCGAAGTTTGAATTGATTGAACAACTTGAACAAAACGCTGAACACAAAAGCAGCAGATGGAAAAAGAGAACAGGATGAACAAGAAAAAGTAAGTCTTGCGCACGTACAACTAACCCGACTAAGATGAAATTTAAGAAGCATGAACGAGAAACAGAAACCTCCGCCTTCCTGGGACGCAACAGTCGCCAAGCACCGGGGGGAAAAAAAGGTGGGAAAAAAAGGTTGTTTGAAACGTTTTTGTTCGGTAGTTAGAAGAGTATTGGCTCCTGTAAGGGCAGGGACGTGAGTTGGGTGAGGGAGCAGGGAAGCGTTACAGGAGTACAGGCGGGTCTTGTAATGCTAATGTAATGAAGGGGGTGGGGGGGTGGGGGGGGAGAGAGATCTCCATGTGTCGTTAAGACAGACAGGCGAATGACGGCAGCGCTTGTTAGTTGAGGTTAAATTTATATTTTTGTGTCCTGGAGATTCGCCTATTTAAGCCAGGCGTTTATGTGATGTTACAATGCTAGTCCCCTTCTCTCTCTCTCTCTCTCTCTCTCTCTCTCTCTCTCTCTCTCTCTCTCTCTCTCTCTCTCTCTCTCTCTCTCTCTCTCTCTCTCTCTCTCTCTCTCTCTCTCTCTCTTCTCTCTCTCTCTCTCTCTCTCTCTCTCTCTCTCCTCTCCTCTCTCTCTCTCTCTCTTTCTCTCTCTCCCTCTCTCTCTCTTCTTCTCTCTCTCCCTCTCTCTCCCTCTCTCTTCTCTTTCTCTCCTCTCTCTCTCTCTCTCTCTCTCTCTCCTCTCTCTCTCTCTCTCTCTCTCTCTCTCTCTCTCTCTCTCTCTCTCTCTCTCTCTCTCTCTCTCTCTCTCTCTCTCTCTCTCTCAGCTACAGAGAGAGTGTGTGATGCAAATTAGAGTGCCACGATTAAATAGAATTGGTGTTGGAAGGAACCAGGTTGAAGTAATTGGTGGGCAGGAGTTGTAACAAGATGGGTATTACCCTCTAGTGAGTGCCCTTGGCACGCGAATAGTGCCAGAGGGCCGTTTGGGGGGAGGTCTTTGGACGGTGAGTGAGGGGCCCAGTCACGTACTGCTTGTTTCACTTGAGCTGAAACTAATTGTGAGCTGTGCGGAGACTCACTACACAATGGAGTGTTAGTTCTCTAACTTGACACGAAACACCATGTATCGAACTAATTCTCATACATTAGTTTTCATTACGCATTTCCACCTTTTATTGATACCTGGTCCTAAAATTGCGTACTGTACCTTGTGTGTGTGTATATATATATATATATATATATATATATATATATATATATTATATATATATATATATATATATATATATATATATATATATATATATATATATATTACTGACAGTGCATATTCATAGAAGCCAGTGTACTACAGATATGCTTCATACACTGCTGTATTTCACTTTACTGTGTATAATGCAGCATTCTCTCTCTCATGTCAGCCCATTTGCATACATCATACACAACTTTCAAACAATATATTAAAGATGAAGCAAAGTTGTGTGGTTTGTCGCACGTGTAAATGATAGTAAATCTCTCCAAGACAAGTAAAGCTTGGGTGTCCTAATGACTTTAATTCTGGGTAATTATGTTCCATTACAGGTAACGAGGCTTTTAATTACTCCCAGCGCTTCATTAGCATAATGTTTCTTCTTCTAACGACCAACATCAGCTGTCCGGTCAACCTCTCTTGTCATTAATTATTCTATTTGGACAATTTCTTATAAATGTCCTCTTCAACTCTCTTTGATCTATGTCTCATTTAAATCTGTTTTCTTTATCTTTGTATTCTTTATGTCTAGCTTTTTTTTTCCAACATTTACATTATATATATACCTGGTGTTCATCCCTCTTAAATCTATTTTTTCATATCTCTGTTTCTCATAAATCTATCTGATTTTATTTTGTCTACACTATGTATCTTTTGATGGGAGGTGAAGAGAGAAAGAAATATAAGAAGAAACTTCCATAGATACCTAAAGTTTACCTGGAATTGACCTGGAAAGAGTTCTTAGAGTTTTCTACTCACCCAAGCCCAGTCTGGGTCTAGGATTGAATAATCTATTAAAGCCAAATAAATACTCTTGTGTCATGGGCTTTCCGGAGTATTTTGAGCAGTCTTCAGCAGCCCTGACATTACCTTAAAGACTCGAGTACGTCTCGAGGGTCTACTGAGAGCTCGTAGAGGTCTCCTGACACAGTGTAGTGATCCTGTAATTTCCTTTATGGCTTCCTGACACAATCTCCCCCCCCCCTCCCCTCCTCCTGTTTCTTGGGTTGTTAAGCGACCACTTATACTTACTTATACTCCTGCTTGTTTACTTAAACCCTTGCAACACGCTTCTAATGTTGATATATATATAAATATATATATATTTATATATAAATAATATTATATATATATAATATTATATAATTATATAATTATATATTATATATATATAATATTATATATATATAATATTATATTATATAATATTATATATATTTATATATATATATATATTATATATATATAATATTTATATATATATATATATATATGTATATATATATATATATATATATTTATATATATATATATATATATATAATATATATATATATATATATATATATATATATATATATATATATATATATATATATATTATATATATATAATACTGATATAATATATATATATATATATATATATATATATATATATATATATATTATCCTTTTGTCCTCCATAGACAAGGATAGAGATGTGTTAGGTGGAGCACCGCGCCTCGCTAGCGGTTCCTTTTGGGTTCGAGCCCTGGCATTGGAAGATTGAATGGGCACCAATTCTTTACTATTCGCCTTGTTTACCCGGCAGTAATTGGGAATCTGGCTGTTAGCCGATTGGCGGCTCCTGCTCCAAAGAAAACTTGTGGAGTAAGCTTAATATGAACTTTGGGAAAGGGAAGCTCTAAGCCTGCTAATAGGAGGCCACAAATCGTCTGCTCCTGTGTTCTTCGGTATAGGTGATATATATATATACACTATGTGAGTATTGGATGCAAGGTCACATTCTCACAAAGAGATCACACAGTCACCAACTAGATGACCTTTCTCAGGAAGAGTCACAGCCTACAATTACACATATCCTCTCTCTCTCCCTTTATCAAAATGGACCAAATTTTATTCAAAGGAGTAATAAGAGACCGACTCCCTCATTCCCTATTTTTCGAAAATAGCTGTAATTGGTTATTTATAATCGGAAAAATTTTGTGTTTGCCTCCTCTGGGATAAGAACCCAGGAAAATTGATATTCAACCAGGAGTTGTATTAACGCTTGTTAAAAAACAGTTCGTCACTTTGAAAATTCTAATATAATATTATATATATATATATATATATATATATATATATATATATATATATATATATATATATATATATAATATATATATAATATATATATATAATATATAAAGCTTCGGTAAGCTTCTCTCTCTCTTGTCTTCACTACCTTTGTTTTCCAACGTTTCTCAAGAGTATTATTCTTTGGTCAAAGTTTCCCCGTGGTTATTAGCTTGACCCGCAGGTAGTGACCTCGACTGCTGTGTCTCTAGGAAGATCATTATCCTAGACCTGTTTCATTATACTGGTCCTTGAGGGTCTCTTGTAATCCTCTGGAGGGTTGAAGAAGATCACCAACAGCCTTTAGTGCCACTCATGTGATGTTATCCTGGTATGCATTTGTTATTTTCATGATTAGTTTCTCAAAATTCACATGTGTCTTTTGATCAAGTATATGAGTGGGATTGGGTGGTTATAAATAGGAGCTGCCTCGTATGGGCCAATAGGCCTTCTGCAGTTACCTTTGTTCTTATGTTCTTATCAATAGTTTGTAGTGTCAATCGCCCCTTCCCGATCTGTCTGCTCTTAATGCTGCCTGGTAATGCCTGAGAAATGTGGCATATATTATAATTCCAGTTTAATTGTCACTTCATCTACATTAGTGTGTCAGATTTTGAGGCTGTCCAGACTATTTTTGTGGAGTCGGTGGAGAGGATATCCTTGAATGAGGGAAAGGTTGGTGGGGATAGGTAGTGTCGTTCTGGACAGGGATGAGATGTGTCGTATTGGACAGGAGAGGGATGTGTCACCGACAAGAGGATTGTGAAATCTGAGGGGAACGTTCGTTGTTATGTCTGTTATTACAAGGCAATTCTCGATTTGTTAATGTTGTTCTGTTGCTATTTTCTTGTTTTACTTGGCTGTTGTGCTGCCTGCGTTAGTTTTTTCTTCTCTTTGATGTCATTCATTGAGTTGTTATCACTTGCCAAGGAAGCGCTCCAAGATCATTGTCTTGAAGCAGGTATGTCTCTCAACCAATGGTTTCATTTTATTTACATCCGTGCTTTTCTGAATTATATTTTCAGAGTACGAACCATCCTGTTCTTGTTTGTTTACTCATCTGACACTATGACTTGCTTGAGCATCTGTTACCACCCTAAACTTGTCGTGTGTGGGTGTGTGGTGTGGGTGTGTGTGTGTGTGTGTGTGTGTGTGTGTGTGTGTGTGTGGGTGTGTGTGCGTGTATGTGTGGTGTGTGTGTGTATGTGTGTGTGTGTGTGTGTGTGTGTGTGTGTGTGTGTGTGTGTGTGTGTGTGTGTGTGTGTGTGTGTGTGTGTGTGAGACAATATCAATGACCAAAATATCTTTTTTCACTGTTTCCTAACCATTAAGTCACTGGGAATGGTCTCAACAGCTGTCAGCGTTTAACCCTTAAGCCTGCACCGGCCGCATCCAGCAGCAAACTCAAAAACAAATTACTCCATACGATTTTAGACACTATGAATACTCTTCAGAAGGCATACCGTACTTCACCTGTGGTGGAAATCCTCCTTTATCTTTTACGATATCACGTAATCTCATACATTAGAATACAATTGAACTCGTAAACACAGTTAAAGTCTATAACATTTATAACATATGTATATTTTAGCGGGCCATTCAGCTGAAAATTTCTGCAAAAAAGTCTTCCACCAGAGGCTATTAGACTGTCCTAAATTGTTTGTTTTAATATTTTGTTCTGGGTAAACAGGATATCGTAGCTCAGTAAACTGTTTTATATGCATGAAATTCGCAAGGCATTCCTCTCTCTCTGGATTTCCGGCACATCTGCAGAGCTCCAAGGATTACAAGTTATTACAATGGAATTCAAGCAGCATCAGACCATTATATTCCATCTAAGCTGTTTATAATATATATATATATATTATATATATATATAATATATATATATATATATATATATATATATATATATAGTATCTATATATATATATATATATATATATATATATATATATATATATATATATATATATAATATAAGCCAGGGCTAAACATGGTAAAATTGTGTTTGAAATGTAAGGAGTGACCTTGCGAAACGCATCCCTGGGCGTCAGACAAATGAAAAGTGTGAAAATGAACTTTGGAGAGTTAATTTTTCAACTTCCCTCGACAATGAAGAAAACATAAGAAAGATTGAGAATATTAAAACATAAGACTAAATATTAATATAGAACCACCTCCCCCTGTCTCTCTTTGTTGACCCCCCTCAGCATCTTTACAATTCACAGCATCACCCAACTCTCTAACCACAGCATCACTCATCTCTCGCCACAGCATCACTCATCTCTCGCCACAGCATCACCCAAATCTCTAATCACCGCATCACTCATCTCTCGCCACAGCATCACTCATCTCTCGCCACAGCATCACCCAAATCTCTAACCACAGCATCACTCATCTCTCGCCACAGCATCACTCATCTCTCGCCACAGCATCACCCAAATCTCTAATCACAGCATCACTCATCTGTCGCCACGGCATCACTCATCTCTCGCCACAGCATCACCCCATCATGCAGCATCACACATCTCATGCACTTCCTTAGTTCCAGCTCGCTGCCTCGACCTTTTGACATGTCCCCCTCCCCAACTCCCCCCACTCTCCCCCTCCCCCCAGACACATCAAAGCCACTTCCCCTCCTCCTCCCCCCCCCTCTCACCCTCTCTCTCTCCCCCACCTCTCTCCCCTCTCACATCTTAA